ATAGGAAAAATGGCGCTAATGTATGTAAAATATCTTACGAGGGGGGGGTCAAATTTACCCAAAAAATGTCTTACGTAATTTATGGACAGCCCCTAATGGCCCTTAGATTACGTCAACATTTATGTCAACTGCAGGTAAAAAGGGGCCCAATAATACTTTTGACACTGAGAAATAAGAATGATCAAACTTACTATAAGGAGTGTCAAACTTGAAAAAGTTAACACTATAATCACTTCCGTAAAGTAGAATTCTCTATTAGTTATCTTTTTTAATATCTCCTGTTATAATTTACTCTAACTTATATTACTATGCCATCATATTAAGATCACATGATTTTAAAAATTAAAATAAATATTAAAAATAGTTAGGGGGTTGGCGCGCAAAGCGCGCAGGGGGGCGAAGCCCCCCTAGTATATATATATATATATATATATATATATTTTTTTTTTAGTGATGCCGAACGACTAAACGATGAAGTACGGAATTACACGAACGACAAACGACGAAACGACAGCGAATATCTTAATATTATAATAATATAGGAGAGGAGATAAGAGTCGTGAAATCATGGTACATTTTGCGTCCTGGTGAGCGTTAATGGGTTAATTTCAGATGTGAATATACTATTATTTTATGAAAAACAAATAGTGTTAATAAATATTTGTCTTCAAGAATTGACTTTCAAAAAAATATTTTTTTATTTTGTGTTTCTCACAAAACAGAATTTTATGCAAGTCTCTGTTTTTAGTAAAATAGCATGTCTCACAAGTCGTGAAAAATTTCACCATGTGGTATATAAGAACAATTCGATACGTACTTTTAAGTGTTAAGTGTGTGTTTATATTTAAGTTATACGCGAATATATGTGTGTGTTATAGGTTAGTTCATAAGTGTTGATAAACGTCGAAAAGTGATACAATAATTGTTGTTTGTTTGTGTGATTAATTATTCAAATATGTGAATGAATGAGAGAATTTTAGAAAAACTGTGAGAACAAGTGGAAATTTTTTTTTTATTTTATAGAAATATACAATTTTTTTGAAAGTCAATGAAATTCTCAAGCAAGGTACTAAAAATTTTCATTGACTGCTTTTGAAACTTTCATGCAAAAGTACTAGACTGTTTCTAGTATTTTGTATCGTATCCAAAAGTTAAGCACCGAATCAATGAAAATTTCACGTACTTTTTTCCATGTAGTAGAACTCTTGGTTGGTTGGTTTTGGTTGGTTTTGTTTTTGGCCTTAACTCCTGGAAGGTCCAATAGCCATGACTTTAGTAGAACTCTTAAAATGCCTAAATATCAAATAACAGAATTTGCATTTGTCTGAACAAACATCCGGCAGAAAGGTTTCAGCTCCAATTTTAAAATTGACCAATCGGAAGTTATCAAAAAAACTGGTTAGTATTATATCCAATAAAATTTTGACTAATAAATAATATTCTAACAAATAATTTATATGAGATACCTACATTTTTTTACAAAATTGAATATTACACGATAAAAGGAAAATCATAATTTAAGATCAGTCTTACATTCTGCACTATCTGCTTTTAGATGTAAAATCCTTCAAAATTCATCATGTAAATTCAGCATTGATCCTAAAAATGTTGCATTTCAATTTAAGACTTCTCTCTGCCTTTAAAACAGAATTCCTTAGGGGAGACCGAAGTGAGTTGAAACGATTTTTACATTATCCAGTATAACTCAGCCAAAAATTGTTCTATTTTTATGAGCTTTGTATTTTTGGATAGGTAATTTTATGTAGTATGTGAATTAAAAATGAAAAATTTAAAAAGTTGTAAGGGTTTAGAAAAAAATTGCAAAATCTAAAACTGTTCCCAGTGTTACAACTCACCTAGTACCAAGGTGAGTTGTAACACATGTCGACATTAGTTGTAACAGTTGGAAATTTTGTGACTTTAATGAAAAAATTCATTTTTAATGCTTAGTTTAGTTAGTAAAGTAAATGTAATTACATAGTGAGTAAAGACATCTTATTAATAGAAACAAATAAAATACTCGTTTTAGTACCTTAATTTACTTTTGGAATTATGTTATCAACATATTTCGACACATTATATTTTTGTTATTCTAATATTTACCTTAATAACTGTTGGATATCCTAGTTTCATGAAATGGTTTTGTTTTTTTGTGTCAGTCTTAAAATATAAAATAAAAAAATAATTATTTGAACCGAAGCACAATTTTTCGCACCTACTAAAAAAAATAGGCGAGTTGTAACAGGCTGTTTTTTAACTCACCTAGGTTTACGCCAATTTGTGCTTGATCGAATAGAGACTGTTTGGATTTTTGCTGAAGTATATTGTTTTATATTTTGGCTTTAAAAGTATTTAGAATTTTACAAATTTTCGTGTAAATCACTTTTATATTTTCCAAAGGAAAAAAATATTAATAACAACATTTTTCGAGTTGCTCTTTCATAAACAATAGTCAAAAATAATTTCTATTTATAGGTTTTTTTGTTATTATTTGTTATTATTGAGTTAATTTTTAATTTAGTTTTCGGTTTAATTTGATTTATATTGATCTCATAAATTTTTTTACTCTAATTACTCCTTCATTATTTAAAAATTCGCAAACAAAATTTTATTATTCTTAAATTTCTATAAAATATATTTTATAATATTATTTTTCGCTATTATATAAAGCTCAAATTGTTACAATAGATCGTAATTAAATACCAAAGATTGGTTTAAAATATCTAATTAGTGTTAAAGAAAACGAAATATAGCCACTGTCATACAGAACAATAATAATCAATTTGATTTTTTTGATTTAGACAACGCCAACGGATGTTATCACCTGCACCAGCCTCCTACTTCGTTCTTTTATATAAACATTAACTGTAAATATCTATAACAATATCAAGTTTAAAATAGTAAAATAGTGATTTCCCTTCTGAGTGCCCAAGGTGTCCCTTCTTGTTATATTGATTTAATGATAGAACGTCAAAGTAGACAAACGCTTTTTGGTATATATGTCGTGGCCACTTAGACGAATCCGACATTAAGCTAAGTGTCCAGACAGTTAGCTAACTGCTGACAGTTAGACGAATACACGTCGATATCGTCTATTTGTCTAAGCAGTAAGCTAAATGTCCGACACTTAGCTTACTGTCCACCGCCATTTGGACATTTAGAGTAAAATAGCTAAATGAATAAATTCATTTTATTTATACCAAAATAATTTATTTAATGCGGCCAATAAAAAACAAATTTTACATTTATTATTAGTCAGCTTAATATATACCGCCATTTCGTCATTTAAAGTCAAATATTTCTCAATGAAAAAAAAAATTAATTATTGTGATAACAAAAAAAATTAACAAATTATTTATTTTTGCACGGATTGGCATAATGGCATTGAAATAATTATTTTATAATTACTATATTTAATGTAAATTATTTTTTAATAGCAGCTCAATCGAGTACATAGGTGGACAAGGTTACAAAAAATGTAACTGCAAAGCGACAAAAGAACAGTGCTGTACTAAACGCTGTTCTTGCTTTAAAGCAAATATTATATGTGGTTCTCGATGCCACCATGCCAATCCGTGCAAAAATAAATAATTTGTTGATTTTTTTTGTTATCACAATAAATAATTTTTTTTTCATTGAGAAATATTTTACTTTAAATGACGAAATGGCGGTGGATATTAAGCTGACTAATAATAAATGTAAAATTTGTTTTTTTATTGGCCGCATTAAATAAATTATTTTGGTATAGATGAAATGAATTTATTCATTTAGCTGTTTTACTCTAAATGTTAATAATTTAATTTATTAAAAAAATTATAACTATTTGTTAATAATAAAAGCTTATTAACAAAATAACAAAAGGCGTCTGTCTATTATACTCTCAATTTTATAGCATCTGCGTTTGAACTTATTTGAATGCATAGTTTATAATAACAAAAGCACGTGCTATTGATTCAACAGCATATATTGCATCGTCTAAAATATAAAACATCTATATTTAATATGCTATTCAACCAATAGTTTTTTTCTCAGTGTATCTTGGACTTATTGTAAAACTATTATTATTTATAAGAGTAGAGATGATTCTATCACTCAGTCGTATTTTAATAAATAGTGAAAATTAACGATCACTCCGAGTCAAGGAAAATAAAAATAAAAGAAATTCAATTCTTTTTACGTTTCGGCAGCACAGCTGTCCTCTTTAGAACGAAAAAAAGAAAATTAGAAAAATTAAAATTATAAATTAAGATAGGTACATCTTTGTAAAAAAGATCTTTGTTTTTGTTAATAACTAGCACAAATAACGCGCTCTAAAGCGCGCGTGAAGTTTCTTATTTTACTTTTAACATATATAACAATAATGTAATTTTTACATTACATGTCACATGAGAATAAGACTTAAATTTTTATTCAGTTAAACATGTTATATTTTAAGGTTGACTATTGTTCATAGAAAAGCGTGATTGCCAATGAGACGAAAATGGAAGATATGTTTATTACAGTATTTGTTTGAGAAAATAGGCCTTTTATTAATAAAGTGGGAAACTTAGATTAAACTATGTTGTCGCGAGCAACCTAAGGGGTTGCTTAATAGGGGGGACAGCCCCGTGTAAAAAGGTTAAGCAGAAACAAAAAATTGAATGTTGAATTCTTTACAAGAAAAGTAGAAAATTACAACGAAAGAATACTCGAACTACAATAAACGTTAGCGAAACAAAATGGTCGATAGATTATCAGCACTAAGCGCGCTTGGGCGACCTGCTCTTGTGAGGCACGAGGAAAAAACTGAGGGAAAACTCCGATCAGAGCCCCTCAAGCAGGCCCGAAGAGTGCGAAGGAAGGGGAAAAAGAACTGCCACGCCGGGCCCCCCGGGGTCAGACCGGCGCCAGGCTTTCCGACAGCCGGGCGCCTGGCATACTCATAGAAACCCAAACATTTCCGCCCGCCTCGTCTGCAGGACGAAAAAAAAATACTTGTTGTTAGTTACACATCCTTATCTTCAGTTAGGAGACGGTATTGGGCTAAGTCGTACGATAGAGCGACGATATGTGCCGTGGTTTGTCTTGACCGTGGCCACTCGGACTCTTCCATCCGATCCTGGATGAACTTCGATGACCTTCCCTAGGGGCCACTTGGTTGGAGGATACCGATCGTCTCGGATTAGCACTAATTGTCCAACTGAGAGATTTTCCGAGGTTTGCTGCCATTTTCCTCGAGCTTGTAATGATTGAAGATACTCGCTGGACCACTTTTTCCAAAAATGGTTTCTGATTTTTTGTAGGAGTTGATGACGGTTCAGTCGATTTTCTGGTATATTCGGTGGTTCTTCATCAGTGAGCATCGACAATGTACTTCCGATGAGGAAGTGCGCTGGCGTTAAGGCGTTGAGTTCTTCTGGATCCGTAGACATGGCGCACAGGGGTCTGGAGTTTAAGCAGGCCTCAATCTCGACTAGGAGAGTGCTGAATTCTTCAAAGGTAAATTTGCGAGAGAACATCATTCTAGTTAGATGGTGTTTTGCTGACTTCACCCCGGCCTCCCATAGTCCGCCGAAGTGAGGTGAATTTGGAGGGATGAAACGCCATTCGGTTCCATCATTTGCTAGTGTGGCTGCGGTTTCGGAATAAAAGGCAGATCCTCTTTTAAACATGGATCGCAGCTCTCTGTCGGCTCCTTGGAAAGTCGTTCCGTTGTCGCTGAAGATTTGTCGACACAAACCTCTTCTTCCTGTAAATCTGCGAAAGGCAGCCATGAAGGATGCGGTCGTCATGTCGCTTACTGCTTCTAGATGAATCGCCTTCGTTGCGAAACAGATAAATATGACGATGTAACCTTTGTAGGATTTAAAGCCTCGTCCCTTGGTGGTCCGCAAGTGAAATGGCCCAGCGTAATCGAGGCCCGAGTTTGTGAACGGTCGGGCTGGCTCGATTCTGGGGGGTGGAAGATCCCCCATCAATTGTGTCGGGAAGCGAGGTTTTACTCGGTGACATAGCGCGCACTTGCGAACTAGTTTGCGAACCAGTGAGGATGCACCAATCACCCACACTAAGTTTCTAAGAATGCTCAGTGTCAACTTTGGTCCTCCGTGGCATGAAACTTTATGCGCTAAGTCTACATAAAGAGGGGCTAGAGGTGAGTCTTTTGGCAGGATTGGTGGATGTTTCTTTGAGAAAGCTAAGGAAGAGTGAGTTAAGCGTCCTCCAACGCGAAGCACGCCCTCTTCGTCGAGAAAAGGATTGAGATTTCGGATAACACTACTTTTGGGAACGCATTTTTCCCTTCTGAGTGTAGCTATATCCTCTGCAAAAGCTCTTGTTTGTGCTATTACTAGGACCTTACTTTTGGATGATGCCAATTCTGCGACTGAGAGAGAAGTATCCTCTGGCGAGTCTTTCAATCCATTTCCTTTGAAAATTCTGCAGATTCGGAGACAGTAAGCTACCACTCGAAACAGTCTCTTTAGAGAGGAGAATCTTGAAAGTATTTCGTCGTCGACTTCTGGTCGAACTGCGAGGAATGATTGAATCTCGGTGCTCTCGATTTCAGACTCTTGGGATTGAGAAGGCCATTTGTCGAGTGGTAGGGACAGCCACTGTGGACCGTTCCACCAGAGACGGCTGTCATGGAGGGTTTCTGGGCTAATACCTCTTGTGGCTAGATCTGCCGGATTGTCGTGACTAGACACGTGTCGCCAAACTGCCGAAGGGAGTTCGGTTTGAATATATGAAACACGGTTAGCCACGAAAGTCTTCCATCTTGATGGATGCTGATTTAGCCAGGCAAGTGTTACTTGACTGTCGCACCAAGCTGTTACTGTCGCGTTCTTAAGGTGAGTCAACCTTCTGACGTACCGTAATAATCTCGTTAGGAGAACAGCTCCGCAAAGTTCTAGGTTAGGTATAGAAACAGTTTTTATTGGACTGACTTTGGACTTAGCTGCGAGGAGAGTAACCTGGGCGATTCCCTGGTACTTAATGACTCTCAAGTATACTGCGGCAGCATAGGCTCGTGAGGATGCGTCGGAGAAGCCGTGAAGTTCGAACTGAGAGTTTGAGAATGTTCTCAGCCAGCGTGGGATCTTAACGTTTGATAGTGTGGTTAGAGATTCGTAATAGTGCGTCCAGCGCTTCTGTATGTTGGTTGGGAGTTCAGCATCCCAATCAACTCTTAGAATCCAAATGTCTTGGAGCATGATTTTGGCAGCAACTGTAATTGGGGACAGCCAACCTAAGGGGTCGTACAATTTGGCGATGCAAGAAGCAATCGTTCTTTTCGAGATATTTTCAGGAATAAACGTTTCTTGAACGAACTTGAACTCGAAGTGGTCAGCATTCGAGTTCCAAAGAATCCCCAACGTCTTGAAAATTGAAAGCTGGTCGATAGTCTTACATGACGGTGATTCACAAGAAAAGGGGAGGAGTTCAGGGTGATTCGTTGCCCATTTATCCAATTTGAGGTTGCCCTTTGCACATAAATTGATCACCTGGTTTCGTTTCTTTGCGGCTTGAAGGACGTCATCGCCACCGTCGAAGATGTCGTCTACGTATGTATTTTCTTGTAGGCATTCGGCTCCAAGGGGGAATAGAGCGCCTTCGTCGATTACTAGTTGTTTGAGCGTGCGGATGGCAAGGTACGGAGCGCATGCCGTACCGTATGTGACTGTGCAGAGTCTATATTCGTCGATTGGACTCTCAGGACTCGGTCGCCATAAAATTCGTTAAAGATCTCGATTATCTGGGTGAACGAGAATCTGCCGAAACATTTTCACTATGTCAGCAGTGAAAACGATTCGGTACCTTCGCCAGTTCAGAAGAATAAGGCCAATGTCTTTTTGTAATGCAGGTCCGGCATGCAGAAAATCATTCAGGCATAACTTTAGCGAAGTCAAACGAGATGCATTAAAGACCACTCGAAGTTTCCAATCTAGGTTATTTATTTGCTTAATCACTGCATGATGTGGAATGTACCAGGCTTTTGGATTGTTCAATTCGTCTTTTGGGATGAGTTCCATGTGTCCATCAGATTTGTATTTTTCCATGAAATCGAGGTATTCTTTAGCTAGCTTGTCGTCTAGATTAAATCGGCGTTCCGTTGCGTACAAGCTGCGTAAAGCTAGGTTGCGAGTCTCGGCTGCGGCGGCGGGAAGTTCAGTTTTCTTTGGAAGACAAACGAGATATTGTCCTAGAGGAGTGCGTTTATGTGTGTTGACAAAATGCGTTTCACAATATTCGTCGTCTGGCTTAGTCAGTTGATTGTTTGGCAAACTTTCCATTTCCCAGAAGCGTTGAAGCTGATCTTGAAGATCGTCTACTGGCGTACAGTGCATTGCTGAAACCGTTCTTGACGTGGTCTCTTGGCTCCCAAAATTGGACCGATATTGGACCGGTAAGAAATTTCTCACTGGGTTAAACCAAAAAAATTTGAAACATTCTTATTTACAGAAAAATAATTTTTAAAATTTAAACGTATTTTTTTTTATTAAATTTTTTTATAAAATCTACACCATATAAAGTTTTATATATTTTCTAAAATAGTTTTTAGTACAGAAAGATTGTTCTAAATTTTTTGAATTTTTTTGGTCCAAGTTTGACGGCCTGCATTTTCTAAGAAAAAAATTACACGTTAATGCCTATAAGTAATTCTTATAGTGTAGCAAATGACCTTTGAAATAAGCTTAAGATCATTAAAAAGCGTTCATTATTTTAAAAGTTATTCAAATTTTTGTAAGACATTGAAAATGACGATTTTTTCAAAATATCTAAATAAAATATTGGCCAAATGACTTCTAAAAGATCTTGTTCGTTTCAAAATTTTATCATTTTTCAAAAAATAAAAAGAAAAATATTTTAGTTTCCATACATTTTATGTTTTAAAATGTTTTTCAATCACCTAAAAATGGATGGTCTCTCAATTTTGACCGGTAGTGTAGATTCGTAATCAGCGACCCTAAAAACCACCGAGTAACAAGTTTTAATCGAATCTGATAAAATTTGAATTTTGTCCGCCATATTGGATCCGACATTTTAGATTTAAAAAAAAACTTTAGATTTATATTCGGGGACCTTAAACAACTGTTAAAGAATGAGTTACATAATAATTTACCTGGTTTTTTTCTTTTTATTCATAAAAGTATTTTGAAATTTTTGGACCATTTGACTTTTGACAGCTCTATTGGCATCGGAAATGAAAATTTGCAAAAAACGCCCATCGCCATCTTAAAGTACATGAATGTAGAAATCTTTTAAGCCCTAGAACGTTTAAATCTATCAAAGCAATTTTTGTTTAGAGCTCTGTCCGTGTTGACGTGCGGAGTGTCCCATAAATATTTAGTTATTTAAAAAAAATTATTTTATTGATGCAAATAAATATTTATAATTAGCCTGCATTCATATTGTATGAGGAATAAGAATCGTTTTTGAAGTTAAAGATTTTTTTAAACAAAATTAGCTTAATCAAGAGAGTTTTTGACGTTAAAAATTTTTTTAACAAAATTTTTACCTCAAAAACTATTTATGTAAGTAGAAATAAATAATAAAATGTCTTCCGAGCGAGGAGTATGACACTAGTTTAAAATAAACTGGATGCTTATTTCAGCTTTATCCAAAGAACATTAAAACACGTAAAGTATTTTCGAATAATTACATTAATTTTACTAATAAATATAATAGTAATAATTTATCATAGAATAATTTAATTCCAACAAAAACAACTTTGATCTTATAATATAATATAAGTAAAAAGTTAATCAAAGTTATGGGTGATTCCCTCTACAAAAGAGGGAATTTTTATGTCTGAAGCATGTTTTGTATATTAATTTTGGAAAGAATAATTTTACTTTTAATGAAAATTGTAAATCTTAATGGTTTCTATTATGGCACAGAAAAAAAACCGATAAAAAAAATATTTTTTTGCAAAAAATACATATTATGTGCTAAATTTTTATTCGTCTGGCATGTCCCTTTGGGAGAATGACAGTTCATATTGAGAATAAATATCACTTTTCAAATGTTTTGCGGAAAATTCATACTGAATTAGTAATTTTGAATAGTTGTAGATTACTTATATGGAAATAATTATGACGTTTCTCTATATATGAATCCATGCTAAAAATATAAGAGAAACGTTAAGCAATTTAAGTAATGTGCTCTTTCGAGTAATATTAGCAGCAGATTTCTCTCCGTGTAATAATGCAGAAATATTCTATTATAATGCCTCTAAGTCATTCAATTTTGAAATATTTAAAAATTTAATTATTTGACATGTTTTTCGTCCAACGAAAAAAAACGTTGCACATCACCCCACATCACCCTATAAATATTTAAAATTTTGAAAAACGGTTAAAAGTGTTTTTTTGGTTTGCTGTGAACTACAGATTTTCATAAATGTTTTGACTTTTCCAAAACTATAAAAAAAATTTTATTCACGGTTGACGCGTTTTGACTCATATTATATATTTAAGCATTAATAACACAGGTCCACAAAAAAATTAGATGAAAGGTTCCTTCGACTAAGCCTGATGTACTATATGTTTTCGGGATCGCTGAAAACGAACCTGAAGTCCGTTTTGCTTCATCACGTCAGGATTCTTCCTATAAGTCATTTTTAATGAAGCTCAGTCACTTATATAAAAAAATTACGAATGTAATATTTTATTACAGAAAAATTGCATTTATTAATGTAAAAATTAATTTCCAATATTTGAACTTTATATTATGCAATATTATTATTAGAAATGATTAATAATTTAAAAGGAAACTGAAATCTTCTTCGATTTTATTTCTTTGGCGAAAAATTCCTTATGAATTTTAAGAGTTCCATCATCGCATCCTCATCTACAAATTGTTTTTATCTGCAAGTGTCAAAGCACATTTTCCAGGTCAAGCGTGCATAACAGCTAGGGTTTCAAAAGCTTGATTAAAATCTTATTGGCTGATATTCTAAAATCGATCCACAGTTTTAAAAATATGAAGAATTAAAAAAACTGAACATTTCTATCTATACTAGAAGTATTGAACTATTTTTTAAATTAAGAAATGCTACAACACACATATAAATATTGTTTTGTGAGTCAGGGTTTAGCCACCCGAAAATTTGAAATTACAAAGCGTACTTGCGACAGAAATTCATTTGTTAATTTTTTTACAATATTCAGCAAAAACATTGAATTTGAGTTGATCTTTCTAACAATATGCGAAAAATCGCAAAAATTTGGCATACAGAGAAAGTTATAAAGAAAAGTTAAAACTATGTCCAATTATGACTACACTCCCCTATATATAATACGGAAATAAAACAGAAAAAACATCCAATTGCAACTTGACATAAATAAATTTAATTATTATTTGTTTCATTACAGAATATAAGATCGTCGAATTTTTATTTAACAGAATTTTTAATTGATTAAAGTTTTAATTAACAGACTTTTTTAAAAAGAAATATAGAGTAATGTGGGTCAAAAAGTCACTATTTTACTTTTTACGCTACAAAATCGGAATATTTCAATTTTTTCAAACTTCCAATTGGTATTGAAAGTTTAGTTATTAAGCTTCAAAATCATTGTTGAAGTTTCTAGATTTTTATTGTTTCAAATTGTTTATATATTTATATGAAAAGAATGTTATTTTTTAAACATTCAACATTATTGAAAATAAAAAATATATATCTACGTATTCAGTACACGGAGAAACTTTTGTTTGGAAAATTTGATATTATAATATTGAATTTTACAAAAGGCGAATAGTAAACGAAGATATAAAGGTATCTTTGTAAAAATACTATTTAAATATTATACTAAGTGAGTTCCCTTAATATCGGAAAGAATAATATAATAATTATGGATTTATGTTTCTAAACAGTAGCAAATTTTAATATAAAACTTGGAAGGTAGATTCAAATCTAATGTACTTTTTGACGTAACTGTACCACCTATTACCCATCGATAATGACTGCGTCTACATTTAAGAAATTTTTCTTTGAAATACCCTTACTCCATAGCTATAAAAATAGGTCACGTTTGACTTAAATTTTGAGTAGCGACTCCTTAGAGAGCCTACAGGCCAAAAAGAGAACTCGTAAATCTCCTTTCGTGAGTAGCGTTACGTTACGTCAAAATTGAGATCAAATTTCACGTTGGATACAATTGCAACGACCAATTGTAGGTCAAATATGGTTTCTCTTTTTGACCTACAGGTCGAAAAATATGTCAAATTTGACTAACATTTTGCCGTAACGCAATGTTACTCATGTGGTGTAAATTACGGGGCCTCTTATGGTCAAATTTAACATACATTTTGACGTAAATAATTACCCCCCCCGAAAGCCTTAATAGGGTCTATTTTGACCTATACGTTAAAAAATAAGTCAAATTTGACCTAGGGAGAAGGGAGGCCCCTCGGAAGACCTTAATAGGGCCTCTTTTGACCTGTAGCTTAAGAATTAGGTCAAAATTGATCTAAATTATGATTCTTTGGGAATCCTTAATGGGGCCTCTTTTGACCTGCAGGTTAAGAAATAGGTCAAATTTGACCTACATTTTGACCTAGGGTATCGACCCCTTGGAATTCCTTTTCTAAAGTAAAATAAAATGTCAAAAATAATTATTTTCCAAATCTTTTATACGTAGGTACTATATTAAAATTTTAGGTTAAGAAGACTTCATATTTTCAAGCAGCACGTAATATAACCATAAAATGAAGGCAATATTACATTTGAGATATTTTGAATATTCCAGGGAAATGTTCCAGTGATCTTAAAGTTATATTAAAATGCCCGCCTCAAAGGAATATTCCAAGATAACATTGAGGGTTTGTTCTACGGTAATATTAAAGGAATATTTCAGGATAATGTTGAGGGAATGTTCCACCGTAATATTAATAGAATATTCCAGGGTGATGTTGTGGGAATGATACCAAGTAATATTAAATATGTTGAAAACAACAATGAATCTTATTTTTAATAAAAAAAGAAGATAAAAATAGAAAATATCACCCACATAGCACGATATCTTACTGTGAGGATACTGCAGGCTTATTCGTATGCTTTGTAAGGTTACAGCGAAAGATAACTTTAAGGAAAACTTAAAATTCCGCCAAACAGTAGACTTACCTACTATTTTTTATGATTTTTACCTGGTAAAATCATGGCAAGCTTACATGGTAGGGTCACTGTAAGCTGACATCGTAAGGTAACAGTAAGTTTACAATACGAGAACGATCACGCGCTCCAGCGCGCGCGTTTTTTCTGTTGCGCATTCCTTTTTTTAATATTTAAATTTTTTTAAACAAAAGTACTTACAATGAGAATAATGGCGCAAATATAATAAATGTT